GAAGAAGGAAGGTTTCGAGTTCTTCGTGTTTCTGAGAGGGAATAGAGAAGGATTGAGGGGTGTTTTGTGAGGTAGCGACGAAGGAAAATTCTTTTCCTCCCATTTTTCCCGGCTAGCTACAACGAAGCGGAAAAAGGAATCCACTGTGGTATAAATCTAACCCATTTCGCTTTCTAATTAGTTTTATTATTCTGTATGTGTTTGGAAGAATAAATCCAACAAAGAGTTTTATTGCATATGATTAACTGCTGAGAATGTTACCGTATGCTTTTATCAATGTTTACCATGTCTGTGTCCTTTTCTTTTAATCTGTATGATGCTATGTTGTGTTAAATTGGGATGAAAGAATTTGTTTAAGTCTTGCTTAGCAACAGTAATTTTCAGACAGTTCTTAAGTAAGCAGTAAAGAACGGAAGTTTGAGAGCATGACGTTTTTTTTTCTTTTTCTGTTGGCATATTTCTCTCTAATGGGTTTGATGTTCAAGACTCGCCACGCCTGTAACAACTTTAAATTGAATTTTATTTTTCTTGCTTGGATTGAATTAAGGACTTGGTGGACTTTTGTTGATTAGTTTATTTGTAAGGAACACGGGTAAAATTTAAAATATTGGTTATAACATAATACATCTTTTGCATGGTATTGCATTGAACTAGGAATTTTACTTTGGATTTTTTCTTTCTTCTTAACTTCTTTGTTGTTTTTCATGTACTTATGTTTTTATTTGAAGTCTTAGAATAGAAAATTTTTAGCCAAAGTTGATGAACCTGTGACACTGAGTGGGTTCCTCACACTGTTCCACCAGGTACCATTTCTCGAATCTAAACTTCTTGAAAATACATTTTTTTTGTGGAGTCCTTTACGGTGCCACAATACCCGGGTTGTGATGATGACTATGTTCTTTCAGTTGTGCTTTTTGTTTTATTTTTTTAAATTCTAGACACTTCTTTTTTGTCCTTTTATTTGTCGTTTAAAGCTTCTAATATTCTATAATTAAAAAAGGGTAGCAGTCAGAAGATGCTGCTAATATACTATCACAGTTAAATTAATAGTCAGGTCAGATTTCTTAGTCAAATTAATTCCAGTTAAGCCTGTTTATGATTTAGTTGTTGCATGATTCTTCTCTTGGATAGCCCAATCTTGGATTTGGCAGCATCTTCTGTTTTGGCATATTTTCTACCATTTTCATCTTGGTTTTTATTGTTCATTTTGCTATGTTTCTTGCATTGTTGCCACTGCACTAAAATGTTCAAGTGATTGTTCTTGTTATTGACTTCCGTATCGTTTTTCCATTTTACCATTGTGCTTTAAGATGGAGCAAATGATCGTATCCAACTCTGAATTGGGACCACCGACTGCAGATGTTAATGCTGCTGAAGTGGAAGGTTTGGGTGAATGCATTGATGAAATTTTCAAGAAAGTTAATCAGGTCAGCATTATCAATGATTCCAAATGTATCTTATATTCCTGGTGGTTTTTTGTTTTCAATATTCTTGTTTTCTTCATCTTTATTTGTTTCTACTTGCCGTAGTACCCCTGTGTTTCCATTTGCAGATGACCTACTTTGTTTTGTTGTCACCACCTTCATTTTCAAAAAACATTTCACTCCTGGCACTTTGCTGTCACCTTTGATGGCTAATGACCACACCAGCATTTTAATAATAGCCACCCTTGATTGATGCTTCTCACCATAATAATGGCAGCAATTACATCTATGGGTCCTTTGATTCACAGGGTAGAACAACGGTGTAAATTGTAAAGAATACCTGTTTGGTGAGACCTAAATAAGTTTATAATGGAATTATGATTCCATTAATCTGTTTGGTTTGCAAGTATAAATAACTCATTATAAATGAGGCTGGAATATAACTGTAAATAGTGTAAATGACTATAGTATCTTTTTTTAATTATATTTGGTTGATAGCATATTTTCATGCATTTTTGCAACTAATAATACAAGAATTAAATAAAATTCTGAAATAAATATTTTCATGCTTTTACAGAAAACCAACTTTGTCCAATATTACATAAAAATAAAATACTCTCGTTTACAGTTTAGTCCCCTAAAACTAGTTTTATAAACTAAAATTTAAGAGAGAATTGAAGTACAAGCTTGAGTGTTAATGAAATATCCTCTATAAAACTTATCAATTTTAAACATATGGCATAAAATTAAAAATATTATTTTTATATGAATAAAATAATAAGATAACAAATCTACAAATTTCCATATCTTTAGCTATTATTTGTACATGTAAAGGTATATTAGATATTTTATTATAAAATTGAGGATGTGATTGACTGAAAATTAAAATTGAGATTCTGAAAGGGGTTGTAATCATGGTTTACAATTCACTGATATGAATCCTTATTATAGAATGTCTTGTAATCACAATTCAATTGACAATTTCACCAACCCAACATAGTAAGAGCCATGCCCGTTACAATAGTTATTATGTACCAACCTTATTACACTATCATTCAGCAAACCAAATAACGAAGTAGTTGATTTTGTATTAATCCTGCCTCTTCCCTATCACATGCTTTAAGATTGTTGAAGTTCTGAAATAAATATTCAGTCATGCATTTTCCATGGTGCATATGATTTCCAGATAATAATGCTCTTTAAGAAAGTTGTAAGTAACTGACAGGATAAATTTGAATTATTCTGTAGAATGATGTTAAGTCAATTCTACTTCTGTTCCAATTTCAATAATCCTTTTTGTTTTTGTTTTTCTAGGATTTAATATTTTACCATGCAATAGGGATTTAGGTCTTTCCCTCTCTGAATTAATCAGACTTTTTTAAATAAATAAAAAGTATAACGTATCATATGAGTGGCTTATAATTCCTTATGAGAATGTATTAGAAAATAATTCATTATGAGAATGAAAAGGTTTTGCATTCTCAGAAGTGACCTTCACTTCCTCAACTTACCTAACTATGTTGCAGTTATCTCCAGTGAAGTAGCTTACCATTAGTTAGCATGTTCATATTATCAAATTGCTTACTCTTATGCTTGGGATGCAGCTCGAGCAAAAAGTGAATGAGGTTGAACAGTTCTATTTGTCCAAAGATAATACACAGTTGAACTCTTCGAAAGGTAGCTCAATTGCAAAAGAAAAAGTGAAGGAGAAGCTTGCTTCTAGCACTGACAAGCAGCAGCAAGATGCACCGTGTAAGGAAGTGGCTGCTTCAAAGAGAATGCAGGAACTCATGCGCCAATTTGCTACAATATTTCGCCAGGCAAGCACATTGCTATATTTTCTGTTGTTGGTTATTTTGTCAATTGTGAACTACTTTTTATTGCAAAACAGACTTTGTTACTTAACATTAGGCTAAAACATATATTACCGAAGGAGTACATCAATTACATCTCCAACAATCTTTTCTTGTTCTGTTGTGTATGGGCTTGTATCTTTTCTGTCTAATCTCATTGGTTGGGTTATCTATTGTTCAAAGAAAGAGTTAACCAGATGAGCCTTTCTATATTATTTTCCAGGTCACTCAACACAAGTGGGCATGGCCTTTCATGGAACCTGTAGATGTTGAAGGTCTTAAGTTGCATGACTATTATGAGGTGCCTTCTTTTTTCTTTTGTAAACTCTTGTTCTTTCTCTTATTGATTGTTGACACTATATACCATTATGTGTTATTGGTTCCCCTGTGCTTTTTAGTTCTTGTGTCTCCAGTTCTTCCGACAAAAACAAATACGAAGAACTTCAAGTTTAAATTGAAAAGTACCATGTAGCTTGACAAGCCTAATGCCCAAAATGGCTGTGTTCAGTTACATGGTTCATTTCTCTGTACACTGTTGGGTTTTAATTGAAAATTGCTCATCATCTGGACAAACCTCACTCCGAAACAGTTGAGATAAGATTCATGTTAAATTTTCTGTGGTCTGCTCGGTATTTAGTGTCAAGTTTTTGCAACTTCTCTAGGAATCATGTTTTTTCTCACCACTTCAACCTGGTGACACTTAGGGTTGGATTTTTTGTGTGTATTTGAATT